TTGTGCATTTATAGAACACTTAACAATTTTATTCTATGTTAACCCAACAATAATTTATTAATTGTTTCCTCAATAATTGTGCATTTACAGAACATGTATCAATTTTATTTCATGTCACGGTAATAAAAGCCATTTTTAAAGTCACTAAAGCCAACAACAATTTATCAATTATTTCCTTGGTAATTTTGCATTTCCAGAACACTTCAAAAGCAAATAATTAACCACAAAAAATCAACTTTCATAGGTTTCACTTTTTATAACACCAATTATGAATTCAGTCAACATGTCCAATAAATACACCAAAACTATAGCAGCTGTTAAAAAACAAACAAATAATTGATGAAAATAGCCCTAACATCCAGTAACAATTGCAGGATAACCGCTTGACAAAACAAATCACTGTGCATAGGGCAACTTTTCCTTTATATTGTTAGTTATGTATATCTCTATTACTCACTAAGTTCAATAAATATAGGCCTATTTCTTTTTCCATTAATATTAGATCATTAATCCACAGTAAAAGACGTGTATTATTACATTATTTTTCAAATTTAGAGTACTTTAATTTTCAAATGTAAGAAATAGCCTAATTAATGTTACATGTTTAAATAAATAATATAAAAAGATCAGCACACAATATCGCTTTTCAATTTACAGCAATTTAGAGCCATTAGAGAAAATAAATATGTTAAAAAATTTTATAATAATTATATATACACTAAACATGGATATATTAGTAAAATAACAAACTAATTATTCTTTTAAAAAGGAAATAGACTCGTAATGTAGCACGCATAGAAGACAAAAGTAAGCTCATGTTTATAGAATATATATATATATATATATATATAGAATGAAAAGTATAATAATAAAAATAAGGGAATTAAAATTTTTCCAATAATTATATAGACTAAATATGTATATATAGACTAATATATATCCTTCTAATTGTACGTTTGAAAAAGCTATAGAATTAGAAACCATTTTTAGTTGAAACCTATGGCATCTTAACCGATTTTGCTTACTTATATGATGATAATGTTGGACTTGTTATTTTTTCCCTCTAGCTGAATTACAGCATAATCGCTTGACCAAAATAGAGCTATTCATTATCCAATTGTCCCTTTTATATATTTAGATTAGATATATATATATTGGAGAGCCTGACAGAGATTTTCTTCTTTTTTTTCTCTTTTTTTTCTGGTTCTCTTGGTGAGGCGGCCCGGGGTGGGTTGTATTGGAGAAGATAAAAGGGCATATGGCAGAGGTCTAAAACAAGGTCTGCAATAGAGAGAGTACAGGTACAGCTCTCTTTTGTGAGTCCTAGCCCCTGTAGCCCACATAGCACAATAATACAGCTAACAAGCCTCAGCCACAGCCAGACCTTTTTATTGAAATATAATGCCAAGAGCCATCTTAATAATTGTTGTCTTTTTCCAGCAAAAGAGAATCAATGAAATAGCCAGCTTAACCGATTCTTCCTAAAGCCAGAGCCAGCCACATGACAAAAGACCAAAATGCCGGTTGACAATTGCCCTGAAAGTTGTCCAAAATTACGTGATAACCGCTTGACCAAAATTGCACTGGTCATTCTCCAACTCCCGCTTTTGCACTGTTCATTCTCCAACTCCCGCTTTTATATAGTTACTAGTGAGACGGCCTGCGCGTTGCGCAGGAGCGCTAATATTTCCCGTGTTAAGTTGCTTAATTTTTAACCGTTATATATTTCTTATAATGTAGAGAGTTATATAATTATTATAAGTCTGACTTGAATTATAAAATAATAGTGCGGTAAATTGGTTGGGTGAATATAGTGTTAATAGTTTGTGAAGTATGAAGGATATTTTGTACTATAGTGGTTAATAAAGTACTGTAATTCAGACAATGCAGTGTCGACATTTTGTGTGGTATGATTTGTATAAATTATGTAGTCTGGATGAGACAATTATAAAGATACCCGTCTATATTTATGTATATCTCTATTACTCACTAAATTCCATAAATATGGGCCTATTTCCTTTTTTTTTGCACAAATTAAAACATTTAATCAATATAATCACAACAATTATTTTTCTTTCATATTTTTGTAAAATGCCGCTCACTAATATTAGATCATTAATCCACATTAAGATCCATGTATTATACATTGTTTTTGAAATTTAAAGTACTTTAATTTTTTTAATGTAAGAAACAATCTAATTAATCTTGCATGTTTGACTAAAAGAATAATAAAAAAATAGCATACAACATTGCTTTTCAATTTAGAGCAATTTTGAGCCATTATGAAAAATGAATATGCTAAAAATTTTATAATAATTATATATATACATTAAATATGGATATTTATTTAACAATATAAAAGTGAGAGTTGCCCTATAAACAGTGTTTTTTTGTCGAGCGGTTATCCTGCAATTGTTATTAGATATCCAAGCTATTAGTAAATAACAAACTAACTATTCTTTTTTATAGAATGAAAAGAATAAGAATAAAAACAAGGGCATTAAAAATTTGTAATAATTATATAGAGTAAATATGGATATATAGACTAATATATCTTTATAATTGTATGTTTTAAAAAGTAGTAGGATTAGAAACCATTTTTAGTCCAAACCCTTGACACCTTAACCGATTTTGGTTATTTGTGATAACAATGTTGGACTTCTCTCTCTCTTTTTTTTTTCTTTTTCTGCTGTTCAATTTTTAGGAATCGTGCAGTCAAAAGCTACTCCTGAACATGCTAAACAACCACTGCATTCAACAATTTTACAGAACACTATTTTATTTCATTTTTTTTGCAATATATGCATTGATCTTTTTTGCAAACAATTTTATTTCATGTCACAGTAATAAAATTCATTTTTTAAAGTCACTAATGCCAATAATAATTTATTAATTATTTCCTCAATAATTGTGTCTTTACAGAACACTTAACAATTTTATTTCATGTTAAGTCAACAATAATTTATTAATTGTTTCCTCAATAATTGTGCATTTACAGAATACTTCAAAAGCAAATAATTAACCACAAAATTAACTTTGTACTAAAAATACAAGACTAACTTTTAAATTTTGTTTAAAAAGTAAAAAATATCACTAAATTCAACATTCCAACTTAAAGAGCCTAAATAAAAAGGTATATAACAACATTAAATCACATAAATATATTGATTGTATAGTTAGATGTAAGGAATGTAGGCAACAAAGAATATAAAAGGCATCGGATATTTAGTAAAATAAAAGAATATAAATAAGCATGAATAAAAGTAAAAATGGGAAAAATTTAACAAGCATCATGATTAAGAGGAAGGAAAATGTGGGAATTCTCATCTCTGTAATAGGTTTTCAAATGACATGAACAAATCAAAAGTACAAAACAGTAGATTACTCAAAGTCAAAATGGCAATTTTCCAACGAAGAAGAGGAGGGTTTCAAAGAAACATGTAAAAACAAAAAGTGAGGCATCCACAAAAGTGAACAATGAATCAACAAAAAATAGGGTCAGAAGACAACAAAATTACCAAATAATCAAGCAACTATAGCATGCAGCTTGAACGAAGGAAAAAAGGAATGGCATAACTGAAAAATAAGACTAACCTAAGGCTAAACTAACACTCAAGAATAGCTAAGATGGCCTATCTCTGCGGATCACAATTAGGCAAAAATGATGCAAACAAAGAGGAACAAAGAACAAAATAAATTACAAAGAAACCACTCAACTATAACATGCATCTTTCGGTCTCCTGAGTAAGGCAGAAACAGGAAATGGCATTAGCGAAAAATGAAGGACTACTAAGGCTAATTCTAATGACATAAGGAACTGCCAAAGACTGATGCAAATGGAGTTACCGAAAAGCCAACAAAACCAACAAATACAAAAGCCATCAAAGTTGCTGAAAATTACGTGATAACCGCTCGACCAAAATGGCACTGTTCATTCTCCAACTCCCACTTCTATATAGTTAGATATATATATATATATATATAATTAAAGCTTGTTTTTAAATAATCCTACCTTCCTTAGATATGATATAAACCTTTGTATAACCCAAAAGTCAAAATTTTCCGACGTCCTTCCCTGCATAAATAAACTCATGCATAGGCTATAGATGAGAATTGCACAACTTCACTGCTCTCGTATTTTCAAAGCGCAAAAAGTAGTGAGAAATGGGATCATTTAAGATCTTCTTAGCAGTATTTAGCTTCATTCACCTTGTAATCTTCTGGCCATCTGGAGCTCAAAACTCAAAACAGGATTATCTCGATGTTCATAACGCAGCTCGTGCCCAAGTTGGTGTTGGCCCGATAGCTTGGGACGACACGGTGGCCGGCTATGCACATGACGTCGCCAATTACACGAAAAAAGACTGCAACTTAAGGCGCTCTGGGGGCCCTTACGGTGAGAACTTAGCTGAAGGCAGCGGAGACTTGACGGCCAGGGATGCCGTCAATCTGTGGTTAACGGAGAAGCAATTCTACGATTACAACTCCAACACATGTGCTCAAGGGCAGGCGTGCAGCCACTACACTCAGGTGGTTTGGAACAGATCAGTCGGTCTGGGCTGCGCTAGGGTTCAATGCACAAACAATGGTTGGTGGTTCGTGATTTGCAGTTATTACCCCTCTGGCAACTATATTGGTCAGCGTCCTTATTTGCAGTTATGATCTCCCTGTCTAGATGTGTTATCTTTGTCTTTCTCAGTGCTTAGTCCCCTCATACCCTTTCTTAAAGTGATAATTCTTCACTTAACTTGAATTTGAACATCTAGAACAGACTTCAATAACATGCATGCGAATGGAGTAATAAGGATCAAGGGGTACATCTCAAATCTCTCTATATAATTAAAAAATAATAATAAATGAACTCGATATGTTAAGGGGGAGAAAAGCAAAGAAACGAATAAGCATAAACCAAAAAGGGGCTTAATTGAACGTATCTTAGGACGAAAGTTAGATTTTTGGAGCATAGTTAGGCCGATGCATTGTGCTTGAGACCTGGAAAAATGAAGGAGACCAGGCCCTCAACCGATGACAAGGCTGGATTAAGAATTGACGAGGCACAGATCGGCACAAAACACGGATTCCTAACATTCAATTATTTGCTTTAAGTTCATGTTTAATGAGAGACTATGGAATGAAAGAAAGTACATGAAAAAGTACAACTTGCTGATTGCAGGCTGCTGCTTCTGGCCCTTCACGTGCTCCTGCACCTGGTTCTCCTCCATTACCTGCCGGGCCTCCCAGTGGAAGAAAGAAATCGAAGAATTTAAGGGTGAAGTTATCGGTTGTTGGTGCTGCCGTAGCGACTGTTCTAGCAGCTCTTGCAGTACTTTTCTGGTGTTGCAAATTGCGAAATAGAAAAGGTAACCTTAGAAAATTCATGGGTCCAGAAAGGCCAGATCTTGATGACAAAGGCGATGATGAATCACTGTTCTTCAGTTTCACAAGCATAGAAGTTGCCACAGATTATTTTTCTGATGAAAACAAACTTGGTCAAGGAGGATTTGGTCCTGTCTTCAAGGTAAGCTAATTAAACATTTCTTGAAACGATTAAGTCCAAAAAGCCTATTTATTTGCTTAATTTAAATGTAAATACGTGGTTCAGGGTAAACTGGTCAACGGGCTAGAGGTTGCAGTTAAAAGATTGAATAGAATGTCAGGACATGGAATTGAACAATTCAAGAATGAAGTCAAAGTGATCTCAAAGCTGCAACATCGAAACCTTGTTAGACTTTTGGGCTCCTGCATTGAGAAAGAAGAGCGTTTATTGGTATACGAGTACTTGCCTAATAACAGTCTAGATTCAGTACTTTTTGGTATGTGTCAGAACTCTATTTACCTTCATTCATTTATCTAAGTTACATGCTTACAACTATCAGAATACTATGAAAATACTGGGATCTGCCTTGTTTACAGATGCAGCAAAGCGGAATATATTGGATTGGAAAGGAAGGTTGAAAATCATTGAAGGGGTCGCTCAGGGGCTTTTGTACCTCCACAAGTATTCTAGACTGAAAATCATCCATAGAGATCTAAAAACGAGCAATGTTTTATTGGATGCGGACTTGAATCCCAAAATTTCGGATTTTGGAACCGCCAGAATTTTTGGAGAGAATGAAATGCGCGGAAGTACAATGAACATTGTGGGGACATAGTAAGTTGAAGGAACATCTTCTTGTTTGTTGTTTTGCTCCAAGTAATATCCAATCTCTAATCTCATGCTTAAGCTAATGGAGATGATTACTTTTTGCGAGAAAAAAAGTGGTTATGTGTCTCCTGAATATGCCATGGACGGGGTTTACTCCGAGAAGTCTGATGTATTTAGCTTTGGCGTCATGATTCTTGAGATCATAAGTGGAAAGAAGAACACTTCTTTCTATGATGCGGATCGTCACTTGAACTTAATAGGACATGTAAGTTACCTGTACAATGCAGTTTTACTTGTGTCATTTCCTTCAGTCCAGTAATTTGGGAATGATCATTTGTCACATTCCAGGTCTGGGATCTATGGACAGAAGGAAGAATTTCAGAAATCACAGATTCGTGTTTGGATGAAACGGTCTCAACAAGGGAAGCACTAAAATATGTTCACGTTGGTTTATTGCGTGTGCAAGAAAAAGCAGCAGATAGGCCAACAATGTCAGATGTGGTATCTATGCTCCTCAAGGAATCAATGGCTCTCGCCACTCCTAAGCGTCCAGCTTTTGCTGAAATTATGACTCTTAACAATACCAAGTTACCTGAAAATCCAGAATTTTGTTCTTTGAACGAGGTCACAATTTCAGATGTGCAGGGTAGATGATTATTTCTTGGCCAGGCGTATATTTTCTTGCAGGGTAGAGAAAGGTGGGAAGCCGGCTGTATCCTCAAGTTAGGGGTGGCCATTGGAGATAATCAGTCTCAATTCTTTTGTGGATTCGTTTGGGATTTGAGTTTGATGACTAATTATTCAAGTAATCAAACATTATTTTATTAATCAGGAGATGCCAAAGGAGCATACGTAGGTGAAGGGGTTGAATTTAGTTCTGTAAGTTAGGTTGTTAGCTACTTGTTAGAATTGTTCTATATTTTTGGTCTTTTGACTAGTTTAACTATCTTTGATTTTCTATTATCTTGTTAAGATTATTTAGGAAGTATTTGTGTTTTGATTGTATCTTTATCAAAGGGGAGATGATGAATGAAAAATGATGAACTATTTTTTTGCAACACTTACAGGTTGCAAAGCTAATTTCAAGTGTTGTTTCTTAGTTTACACTTTAAATTCTAATTATTACATATTTTGCATTTTCTTTTTGACCATATAACAGTTTTAGTTAAAAATTCTATGGAAGGGCAAAACATTAATATTTTAAGAATCGGACCAAATCGGTCAGTTCGATCGATCGAATCACAAACTAACCATGATACTGGTCCAATTCTATGAAAAACCCCAAAAAGTTAAAAAATCAGTCAAAATCAATCAAAATTGGTGAACCGGAATAAATCGCTTAAACAGGTCAAGTCCGATTTATGAATTTTGACTTGGGCCTTGGACTTTTCTTTTATAGGCTACTCAATTGTTTGAGCTTTTGGGCTCTATCAAAGCCTAACAACTACAACTAATTGTTTGCTGCTACAATTAAGTTGGATGATGGGCCATCTTTTCTCGAATTAAAGAAAATACCTTAGTTGGTCAAACTTCAAAACAAAATGACTAATTCAACTAAAATTTAAAAATCCCTTGGGTTGGCTCGGATGGTATCGAGATAACCTAGTTAGGTCTTAAGGTCATGTGTTCGAGTCATCTCTTTACCGGAGATTAGTTTGGCAAAATTGGGATACTCCATATATTAAAAAAAAGGGCAAATTCCACTTTACCCCCTGTGATTTAGCATTTTTTTACATAATCCTCCTATGATTAGCATTTTTTTACATAATCCTCCTATGATTTCAAAAACTATACATAACCCCCTTATGGTTTGGATTAAAATGTCAAAGTGACGGGAATGACCATTCGTAACGGAGTCACCTAAAATGTCAAAAATACCCCTATGTAAAGTTGAAAATTATTTATTAACCAAGGGGGGTTATTTGTATATTTTGAAAACCATAAGGGGGTTATATGGTAATTTTAAAAATCATAAAGGGGTTATATATTAAAATATAAAAATTATATGGGGTTAATGTGTTATGTATTTATAAGGATAATTTCGATATTTTTAGAAGTTCCGTTACGAGTGACTATTTCCGTCACTTTGACACTTTAATCCAAATCATGAGAGGGTTATGTATAGCTTTTGAAACCATATGGGGGTTATGTAAAAAAAAAAAAGGCTAAATCACCGGGGAGGGGGTAAAATGTAATTTGCCCTAAAAAAATGAAAATCTTAGCATAGATTTTTGTCCATTAAGATTGGCTCAGATGGTCTCAAGGTAGCCTAATTAGGTCCCAAGATCGTGTGTTCGAGTCATCTCTCTACTGCTTGTGTATTCTTGGAGGGGGGTGCACGGGCGCAAGGAGATTAGTCTGGCAAAACTGGGATACTCCCTGTGTTGAAAAAAAAACTAAAGAAACTCTTAATTCTCTTCTCTTTTAAGAATTTTCACCTCTAGGAGCCACTCTACAAACTCTACTCATCTTCTCTTTTCTTTTTTTTTTTTTTTTTTTTTTTTTGCATTTTTCCCTCTTTTCTTTTACATTATTAATGGTGTAGATGATCATGAAGTTGAACTTAGTAGATAAAGAAGCAAACTCGTTTTTCCTTTCCTCTTCTATCTTTTGTTTTCATACTCATTAATTTTTTCTACTTTTTTTGGAGTCAATTTTACAAATTCTATCAGATTTGTTTTTGAGTTGGGAAAGTTAAAGTCTTCCTTCTTTAAGTTAAAATATTGGATAGATTTGTTCATAATTTTGTTGATTCTTAATTTTTTTTAAGAAGTACTTTTTCTTTTTTTGGTTGATGAATTAAAAGATACTAAATCAGTAAATCTTCTCTAAAAGATATTTAAAATTTAGGATTTTTGTGTTGATTATACATATTTCTGCTTATTTGTTATTATTTATTTTTAAAATAAAAAATAAATTAAAAAATTAATGGATCGGATTTGAACCGATTGAACCCTAACCCGACCACTTTACTAATTTAACCATCAGTCCGAGTTTCGAAACATTACAAAACACAGTAATAATCACCCTACGAGCTACTAGATTCAACCTAATTTGTAAATCTCACCAATCTTACCAACTAGTCAAGAGGAATAATAACTTTTTAAACGGTGATTGGAGAAATCCTAAATTGAATCTTGGACTGATTCAATAACTTTTGAGCAATTTCGGGTGATGTAGATGCGGGGTATGATGGTATCATTGCAATCTCCTAGATTTTTTCCCCCAGTTTTCTTCCTGAAAATACATGCCATTCTCTGTGGATATTACTCAGGGGACCGACCCACACGCAAACACTTGAAGTGCCGCCCAGACTTCAGCTCCTGTTGTCTCCAGCGGTACCCGTTGGGCGATGCCCACCGGCTACATGCTTCTGGCCGTCTTTTTCTTTTTTCTGGGTACAAAACGAAAGAGGGAAGTATAATTTCCTGGGAGTGCCTGTCGTTTTCAGTTGCTTAATAAAGCAAAGAGCTTTGTCTGATTTCTCCATTATATACCGACAACCAAAAGCTTTTTCTTGTAGCGAACTTCTATCTTACGGCTTGGACTCAACTGTCAACAAACTCTGAAAATATCCTCTAGGAGGACCAGTACTAATAGACTAGTTCTATTTCGTTTCTTTACTACTACTACTACAACTATTCCCGTCGCGAACGGGCCACCGCTTATGGTTCCAATTCTCTGAGCAACGACGGACAATGAATGAATGGTGGGAATTGGGATGGATGGTTGGCTGGCAAGCAGATGATGGTGTCCCAAAGTCTTAGTCAAGATAAACGCGCTTCTAAGGGTACCTTTTTCCACAATATTTGGATAACATAACAGGGCAGCATCAAAGTGCTTGATCTTGACAATGGAGGTGGGGTGTTGGGAAATTACGCAACCAAATTGCTTCATTTTTGAAACAGGTGGAACTAAATGTATTTTGAGTAGTATAAGAGATCATTTTAGTCTACCCTCCGAATATTGGGGATCAAAATTGCAACTCTCTAGAACGACAAAAATAAGATATCCAAATATGGACAATAATCCACTACATGGAATCCAATTCATCCAAATTTCAATTAAATTTATGTAAATCATCAACTATATATACGTTGCAATTGCTCTGGCAACCGTGCAGAAAATATATCCAAAAATAGCTGCATCTTCAAATTTTTCCCTCCAAGTCGCTTACATAAAAAGGATTAAAAACTATTTTCAAAACTATCTTTGGAGAGACCCAAAAAAAAAAAAAAACACACATTAAAATTTGAAAAGCTAAACTTGAGTCTTGAATGTGATTTCTCACCCTTTCTTGAGTATTGAACCATAGAGATGGATCGCAAACTTGAGTCTTGAATGTGATTTAGGTTCTAAAACTCCCGCGGGAAGGAAAAAGGAACAGGGACCCGCGAGAGAGCAATGATGTTAATACGAGTGGCACTTAGATGTACAAGTGTTGAGAATGTTTACCATATACATAGCACTTGTTTGTACTCGACCGAGTCTCATTAGAAGATATTTCTTAGTCTTTCATGACTTCATTTTTTTTCTTTGTATCCCTTTTTTTTAACTAGTAATAGTTCACGTGCTTTGCACGTGATTGTAATATTTTAAAATATATTATTCTTTAGATACAAAATTTTTTTAATGAAATTTTGATAATCAACATCATAATATAGCATTTTTATGTTATTTATTTTTTTAAGCTAGTTACTTTTAAAAACTTTATTAAATGAAAAGAGACAAAAAGCATTCCAATGTAGTTGACTCCCTTAGGATTGAATTTGGAATTATGAACCAAACACTTTTTGATTTATAGTTTGAACTCTAACATATCAAATATTGATAATATCATGTTTTACCAAAATTATTGTATATTCATGATTCTATTGCACATAAACCACAATCATTACAATTTTTTATAAATGAAGAATATAATTAAGTTAGACAAATAAACATACATGTAATTTGAATTCTTTGTATTATGTTAATTCTATTTTTATCAATACTGGAATATAAATGATTCACCACGTAAAGTTTTTTTGGCTTATACATTCTGACAATTAATTAAAATTTTATAGATAGAGATAGTTGGAGTTTTTCTATTTTCCTTTTCTTTTATGCATATTTTTAGCACAATCCAATGCGGAGCAAAAGCAACAAGTCTACTTTTTTCATATGAGTACAATATTTTTGGTTTTAGTAATCGTTTTTATGATAATCATGCAATTGGAATGAGAATTATGGCTAATTAACAATTTTAGTATTAATTTTTTGTATATTGCAATGTTTTATTTTTTAATTGCCAACTTTTAATCCATAACCGCTATCATTATTATCAATTATTGGAATGCACTAAATCTATCTAATTACAATTGTCACCATAAATGAAATTTACTTAATTTTAAAGTTTTGCATTTCATAACCTCTTCCATTATTCACCAATATTGCAATGCAATAAATATATGTAATCATTAGAAAAATAAGGGTAGTTTGAGCATAACCAATAACAATTTGGATATCGTTTTCATTTTATCATTCCTTATTTTAAGTTTACTCTTATTATAATTCTTATTTTATCATTAGAGATGGCTTCTGACTTGATGGATGGACTTGATTTGCTCAAACCAATACAAATGAAACATTACTATATTATTGCCAATAACAATGTTTGTCTTTCCCTCGATATCAATGATTTGGATGTTAACTTTGGTATTATTTGAATTGTATTCTAGTTTTTTAATTCATTTGCTATTTACTTTATGTCATTTTATAAATAGTTTTCAATTTTTTTTCACTTCTTCTTTTTTTGATCGGTTGTTATTAATGATAATAGTGGTTTGTATGGTGCTATGTTATATTTCTTTTTTCTAATTTAATATTACTATTTCAATTATAAAGGTGTCATCATTTTTTGGTGCAATATGAAAAATTCTTCATCATTACTGTAGAAAAACTATGAATCTTGGTAAAAAGTGCATAATTGTAAAATTTGCTCGTGATGTTTGTATGAAGATATACAGATGAATAAGGATTCTTTTCTCCTTATATGTTTCTCCATTTTCTAGAGAATATCTATTTTTTGACATTGATTTTATTTTACAATCTCAACTAATGACTAATAAGAAATTTTTCATACTTCAATTAAGAAATTTTGATACATATAATAATTGAAGATAGAGTCTAAAGGTATGTAAATAGTTTTAATTATAATTACCAATAATATTAAGATGTAATCAATTGGAGTGTTTTATTTCTTTTAATTAGTGCCACATTAAAATGAAATAATTCTAATTAAAAGACATGAGGGTAATTTAGGGATAACAAAAACTAAGATAAAAAAGTGCTTACACTTGCACTCCTTCGTACCAAGATTCATACTTTTTATATAGTAATAATAATGATAATGATAATGATAAAGATAATGATATATAATTGAAGCTTGTTTTTAAATACTCCTACATAATCTCCTTTCCTTCCTTAGATATGATATGAACCTTTGTATAACTCAAAAGTCAAAATTTTCCGACGTCCTTCCCTGTATTAATAAACTCATGCATAGGCTATAGATGAGAATTGCACAACTTCACTGCTCTCGTATTTTCAAAGCGGAAAAAGTAGTAGTGAGAAATGGGATCATTTCAGATCTCCTTAGCATTATTTAGCTTCATTCACCTTGTAATCTTCTGGCCATCTGGAGCTCAAAACTCAAAACAGGATTATCTCGATGTTCATAACGCAGCTCGTGCCCAAGTTGGCGTTGCCCCGATAGCTTGGGACGAAACGGTGGCTGCCTATGCACATAACTACGCCAATCAGATTATAACCTACTGCAATTGGACGCGATCTGGGGGCCCTTATGGTGAGAACTTAGCTGAAGGCAGCGGAGACTTCACGGCCAGGGGTGCCGTCAATCAGTGGGTGAGTGCGAAGCAATACTACGATTACGACTCCAACGCATGTGCTTCGGAAACGGAGTGCGACAACTACACTCAGGTGGTTTGGAACAGCTCAGTTGGTCTGGGCTGCGCTAGGGTTCAATGTACAAATAACGGTTGGTGGTTCGTGATTTGCTGTTATCATCCCCCCGGCAACTCCATTGGTCAGCGTCCTTATTTGCAGTTATGATCCCCCTGTCTAGACGTGTCTTTCTCAGTGCTTAGTCCTCTCATACCCTTCTTAAGTGACAATTCTTAGCTTAACTTGAATTTGAACATCTAGAACAGACTTCGATAACATGCATATGGGTGGAGTAATAAAGATCACGGGGTACATCTCAAATCTCTCTGTATAATTAAAAAAATAAATAAATGAACTCGATATGTTAGGGGGGAGAAAAGGAAAGAAACAAATAAGCATAAACCAAAAAGGGGCTTCATTGAACGTATCTTAGGACGAAAGTTAGATTTTTGGAGCATAGTTAGGCCGATTCATTGTGCTTGAGACCTGGAAAAATGAAGGAGACCAGGCCCTCAACCGATGACAAGGCTGGATTAAGAAATGATGAGGCACAGATCGGCACAAAACACGGATTCCTAACATTCAATTATTTGCTTTAAGTTCATGTTTAATGAGACACTATGGAATGAAAGAAAGTACATGAAAGAGTACAACTTGCTGATTGCAGGCTGCTGCTTCTGGCCCTTCACGTGCTCCCGCCCCTGGTTCTTCTTCATTACCCCCTGGCCCTCCCAGTGGAAGAAAGAAATCGAAGAATTTAAGGGTGAAGCCATATGTTGTCGGGGCTGCCATAGCAACTTTTCTAGTATCTCTTGTATTACTTTTCTGGTGTTGCAAATTGCAAAAGAGAAAAGGTAACCATCGAAAATTCAGGCGTCCAGGAAGGCCAGAGCTTGATGACAAAGGGGATGATGAATCACTGTTCTTCAGTTTTACAAGCATAGAAATTGCCACAGATCATTTTTCTGAGGAAAACAAACTTGGTCAAGGAGGATTTGGTCCTGTCTACAAGGTAAGCTAATTAAACATTTCTTGAACCAATTTTCTTTTATGTCTAAGAAGCCTATTTATTTGCTTAATTTTAATGTAAATACATGGTTCAGGGTAAACTGGTCAACGGGCTAGAGATTGCAGTTAAAAGATTGAATAGAATGTCAGGACATGGAATTGAACAATTCAAGAATGAAGTCAAAGTGATCTCAAAGCTGCAACATCGAAACCTTGTTAGACTTTTGGGCTCCTGCATTGAGAAAGAAGAGCGTTTATTGGTATACGAGTACTTGCCGAATAACAGTCTGGATTCAGTTCTTTTTGGTATGTGTCAGAACTCTATTTACCTTCATTTGTTCTTTGCTTATGTAAGTTATCTGCTTACAACTATCAGAATACTCTAAAAATGCATACAGATGCAGCAAAGCGGAATATATTGGATTGGAAAAGAAGGTTGAAAATCATTGAAGGGGTAGCTCAGGGGCTTTTGTACCTCCACAAGTATTCTAGATTAAAAATCATCCATAGAGATCTGAAAACAAGTAATGTTTTATTAGACGCAGACCTGAATCCCAAAATTTCAGATTTTGGAACCGCCAGAATTTTTGGAGAGAATGAGATGCGCGGAAGTACAATGAACATTGTTGGGACATAGTAAGTTGAAGGAATATCTTCTTGTTTTGCTCCCAGTAATATCCAATCTCTAATCTCATGCTTAAGCTAATTAAGATGATTACTTTTTGCGAGAAAAAAAGTGGTTATATGTCTCCTGAATACGCCATGGACGGGGTTTACTCGGAGAAGTCCGATGTATTTAGCTTCGGAATCATGATTCTTGAGATCATAAGTGGAAAGAAGAACACTTCTTTCTACGATTCGGATCGTCACCTAAACTTAATAGGACATGTAAGTTACCTGTACAATGCAGTTTTACATGTGTCATTTCCTTCAGTCCAGTAATATGGGAATGATCATTTGTCACATTCCAGGTCTGGGATCTATGGACAGAAGGAAAAATTTCAGAAATCACAGATTCTTGTTTGGATGAAACAGTCTCAACAAGGGAAGCACTAAAATATGTTCACGTTGGTTTATTGTGTGTGCAAGAAAAGGCAGGAGATAGACCAACAATGTCGGACGTGGTATCCATGCTCCTCAAGGAATCAATGGTTCTTGCCTCTCCTAAGCGACCGGCTTTTGCTGAAATTATGACTCTTAACAATACCAAGTTACCTCAAAATCCAGAATTTGGTTCTTTGAACGAGGTCACAATTTCAGATGTGCAGGGTAGATGATTATTTCTTGGCCAGGCGTATATTTTCTTGCTGGGTAGAGAAAGGTGGGAAGCCGGCCCTATCCTCAAGTTAGGGGTGGCCACTGCTGATAATCAGTCTCAATTCTTTTGTGGATTCATTTTGGATTTGAATTTGATGACTGATTATTCCAGTAATCAAACATTATTTTATTTATTAGTAATTTGGCAACCAACTCATTTAAGTGAGTTGGAGGATCAACTTAGAAACCCTCCTGAATTTTATAACTTACTTAGTATTGTTGAACTTTAAAAAATATCACTTTATCTCTCGTATTTTCAACTTTTTGTAGCATTGTAATCTCATTTTAAAATATATTATTAAAAACTCATTCTTGGAACGAAGACATCTTCTTTATCCAATACTGCTCTTTTCTTACACGCCTTTTTTTTTTGGTTTTTTCTTAATATATCTAGTTAATCTCTTAAACTTTTAAAAATTTGGCAAGTATGGTGTTGTAGTTAAGAATTATATGATGTTAACAAGATTGAAAGATCTTTTAATAGTTTTCATGTCACCAGTTGGCACAGTAAATATAAAATTTAGAAATTCACAAACACTTTTCATTAAAAGAATAACTTGTTTTGATTTTTGAAAGCATCTTAAATGAGTTTGCAAACATAACTTTAAACATGTTTTTTCCCTAGTTTTCAGAAATTCTAACAAATTGAAAACCTCCTTGAGTTGACTGCAAACACTTTGTAGGACATTAATAATATTTTTTTTGGCTTGAAAACACCTTAATATACTTGTAAAGATATATTATTTATGTCTTAAACCGCTCCCCTGAAATTGCACATTTGCACAAGTTATCTGTTGATTTCAAATTTTTGTTGATATATTTTTATTTTTGAAAATAAAGTAGGACGATAAAAAGCGCTTTTGGAATGAAAATATCTTCTCCATCAAAAAATGAGTTCTTTAATAATATATTTTTGAAATGAGCCTAAAATATTACAAAAAGTCAATAGTAGAAAAGGGAAGTGATATTTTTCAAAATTCAGGGTTATTAAGTGACCTGAAATTTTGAAAATTTCACTAGTTAAAATGGTAGCATTTTTTTTTTTCTTAGAACCAAACGAAAAAGCTTAAACAACATCGAAATTTTGTACCAAGATTATCATTTAGAACTACTTGGCTTTTTTTTTCCTCCCATTATCCTTTATGAAAATTATATCAACAGTTGCTGGTTCTCAAGACCTCACAGAGGATCATAATCGACCACAAAAGATCAAAAGGGAACTGGGGAGAAATTGGCAATGGCAACTCTTGCTTCCTCTTCCTCTATCGTCTTCACCGCTAATCCATCATCATCTACTTCCACTTCTTCTTCTGCAGCTCGTTCCTCGGCCCTTCCGCCACGCCTCACCCTCTCCTCTTTATCTTCGTCAACCACTCTCTCTTCCCTTTTTTCAATTTCTCCAACTTCGGTCGCTTATTCCACCAGTTCAAGGCGGGTTCTAACTTGTATCCCGGCCTTCAGTGTCGTCAAGGCCAGTGCTGCAGAGAAGAAAAAGGTGCTCATTGTCAACACCGACAGCGGCGGACATGCAGTCATTGGCTTCTACTTCGCCAAACAACTTCTGGGTTCCGGCCATGAGGTCACCGTTTTAACTGTGGGTGAAGAGAGCTCTGACAAGATGAAGAAGCCGCCTTTCAACCGATTCTCAGTTAAATTTGTCATCCTTTGTCTCTTTCATTTCTCAACTTCAGTTTTCCCGCTTTTATGCTCTGATCATTTCATTAGTAGCAGGTTTGCTGGGATTTTTGGGAGTGGGCAGCAGCTTAATTTGTCAATCAGTACTTATTTAACTTTCCGATGACGGTTTCAAAGGAAGTAACAATAATAACAAAATCTAAATCAAAAGGCAGGAACTTATATGGGAAATTCTGATTTATTCAGGAAATTGTGAGTGCTAATGGGCGGACAGTTTGGGGTGACCCTGCTGATATTGGGAAGGTGTTAGAGGGAGCTACATTTGATGCAGTATTGGATAACAATGGCAAGGACTTGGATGCTGTGAGGTTTGTGCATTAACAAATCCTATAGCTTGCAATTAATCAAATACCTGAAGTAATTTGGCATTAACAAAACAAAACATGTTATCAGAACTTCTTCCCCTCTCCCCCCTCCTCAACTGGCAACTTTGTATTGATGATGAACAAGTCATAGGGGAAACAAATTCTTTCATTTGATGCCCTTTCTAATCTAAGTTGCTAAGCCTATTTGGATTGTCATTTTCTGTGAAGAAAATTTGAAATATTCTCTTATTATATTTTTTAATTATTTTTTTATCTTGCATATAATAGTACATTATATTTTAAAAAAAAAACTCTAAAAAGTTGTGATCCAGACTAATTATTACTAATTGACTACTACTATTTAGTTTTTTACACATAGAGGAGAATTCACATTTCTGAAAATGTTGTTTTACAGCTAAAATATCCTCTAGGTGGAGCAGTGCTAATTGACTAGTTCTATTTTTTTTTTTTTTTTTTTATCGAATACATTATAACTTCATTTCATTTTGTAAACTTGATATTACAAGACTTAGATACAGCAGATTCGCTTCCTCTGAGGTCACTTTGGGCTTCCTCTTGGAGCCACATGGGAAAACATACATCCCATTCAACATTTGTTGTTAGCTTGACAGCAAATTTTGCTACACTAGTTCTAATTGACTAGTTCTATTTAGTTTAGTTTTTTATTACTACAACTACTACCGAGTGGGCCGCAGCTAATGGTTCCAATTCTTTGACCAATGAATGGATGGACAGCAGATGACAGTGTTCAGATGTCTTCGTCAAGACAAGAACTAACACGTTTCTATGGGGACCTCTTTCCACAATCTGTGAATAACAGGG